AGGAATAAAGGAAGCTCCAGGTCTGGAGGTGCTGCTGGGGCTGGGGGAGCCAGTCCTGGAAAGGACAAAGCACAGCCCCTGGCCAGAAGTGTCTCTTGGGACACTGGTTTGGGCACATTGCACCTCAAAGATGGAGCCACGGAACCCCAGCAGAGCCTCCCTGGGCTGGGAGGGCTCCACAAGGGTCACAGAGGGACCAGCACAGCTCCTGGCCCTGCCCAGACCCCCAGCAATCCCAGCCTGGCATCCCTGGCAGCTCCTGGAGCTCTGGCAGCCTCGGGGCTGTGCCCATTCCTGGGGAGCCTGGGCAGTGCCAGCCCCCTCTGGGGGAAGAACCTTTTCCTGATTTCCACCTAAACCTCCCCTGGCACAGCTCCAGCCGTTCCCTCAGGGCTGCAAGCAGAGAAACAGCAGGGGCCAAACCCCTGTGGCACCCCCAGCTCAGCCCTCAGAGCCCATCCCAGAGCTCCCAGCCAGAGCAGTCGGATGTGCCAGGTCCTGGCAGGGCTCAGGGGACCACACCTGGAGCTGGCTGGGTCACCCTGGGAGCCATCCCAGCACAGAAAGTCCTTTTTTATTATTTTTTTTTAAATTTATTTCAACAGAGTAGTGCTTGGTTACAGTTTAGTGAAGAACAAATAGGTACATTCATTGGCCACAGCTCCCGGGGCAGCAGCTGCTGCTGCCCACCTGCAAAGCCACAACACTGTTAAACCATACCAAAAAAAAAAAAAAAAAAAAAAAAAAAAAAAAAGAAAAACCAAAAGAAAGTTTAATGAAAGGCAACTATGCATTAAAAAAGTCCTTGTAACTTCTGAGCTATAAATGAGTTCAGTACAACACGGGACCGGCCCCGGGAGGAGCGGGCAGTCGGGACAGAGGAGGAAAACCCAAACCTTGGCCAGTCGCTCAGGGGTCCATCAGCAACGAGGCTCACTGCCCTGACCTGCCCTCCCAAAAAATCCAGGAAGATCGTAGTGTGGGTGTGTGCTTCAGTGCAAGAGGAACAATGAGCCTGTAGCCCTTGGATTTTGTAGGTTTTTTTTTAATTTTTTTTTTTTTTTTTTTTTTTTTTTTTTGTCATTTCACTTTTTTTTTTTTTTTTTTTTTTTTTGCGCACTACACTCCTTTCCCTCCAAAGTAAAACTTAAAGTGCTCCTAGTGCTTTGGAATTTAAGCAAGAACAGGGGCCACGAGTGTCACTTGCTGTCTTTGGAGACTAATGGGAGCAGAAGGAAGGGTGGCAGTGGCTGGCCCTTCACCAGCTTTGCCATAAGCCAAGCAGGGATTGAGATGGAGCAGCTGGGGTGGAGCTCTGGGACAGGGACTCCAGCAAGGGCTGTGCTGAGAGTTGCCATCTCCAAAAAAGAAGCAGGACTTGCTGCTTTTTTGGGCCAGCAGGAGGTGAGCAGGGAGAGCACAGGCCACACAGGGCAGTGGGACAGTGACAGGAGCTCAGCACAGCCCCAGGACAGAGCAGTGGGACAGTGACAGGAGCTGAGCACAGCCCCAGGGCTGAGGGGGCCAGGCTGGTGAGGAGAGGATGCCCCAGGCTGGGGTTGCTCTCACAGCTCTCAGGGTCCCTCCAGCTCCCAGCACAGCATTCCCTGTCCCCAGTGTCACAGCGGGGCTGGAGCAGCACGGGGCAGGTTAAAAGCAGTCCCAGGGTGGATTTGCCCCACGGTCAGAGCAGCTCCCTCCCTGCCACCAGTGCCTTTATCCAAAGCTGCTCTGCTCATCCCCACGGCTGGCTCAGGGACAAGCCAGGAATAACACCAAGCCTCATCTCCAAAGAGCCCAGGCTAGGTCAAACTTGGCTATTTTGGATAAGGAAAGACAGAGGGACCTGTCCCAGCCTGACCCAGCACTCCCAGCTCTGGGAGGCCCCAGGTCCACGGGGAGGGCAGAGTAAGGAGCCCAAGGATCAGATCCCTGTGGTTTCTGCCCCTTCCCTCTGCAACAGCAATGTTCCACAGGCAGCCAACACCCCCTGCACCTCAGTGGGGACCCAGCAGTTCACATTCACTCCAGGTTAAAACTCTTGGTTATCTGCTAAATGCAATTTAATACTGAGGGGGACGAGGGGAGCCCCACTGTGGGCAACGAGGAGGGGGAGCAGGGCTGCTTCCAGCACCCAGGGGGTGCAGCAGCCCTGGATTCACACACATTCCTGCACACACACTCCTGCTGAGCCAGCTCCAGCCTCTCCCTGCAGGGAAAAGCCAGCCCTGTCCCTCAGCCACGGGCCAGCGGGGTCATCACGAGGCCAGCAGGAACACTGACCTCACTCAGCTCTGAGCCCCAGGCCCAGGTAGGACAGGGCAGCAGCCAGGTGGGACCAGCAGGCAGGGCAAGACCCCCCGAGCCCCAGGGCCTCTCCCAGCCCTGCCAGGTGGGAATATGGCACAGTAAACTCCAGCATCCAGCAGCGGGGGCCCTGCCCAGACAGAGCTCCCAGGGAGGCAGGATGCAGAGTCCTTCAGGGAATACGTCTTTGCAGGAGACAGTGCCTCTCCCAGCTCTGGATGTGCAATTAAAACAGTAACTAGAACAGTCTCAGGCCAAACACAGCCCGAGCGAGATTCGTTCCTTCCAAGTGTGCAGATAAAAGTGCAAATATGCATTTGATGTTTCTTTTCTAGTGAGGAAGCTCTGGTGCATTTAGCTGCCAACATCTTGAAGACCAGACCAAGAAGAAAAAAAAAAAAAAAAAAAAAAAAAGCTTCCTGAGAGTTCAGCTTCACTTTGCTACATGGTACCTTAAAGTCACAGTTCTCTGACTTAACTGCCCGCAGCCCTGGGCTCAGTCCCGCGCGCCGCTGCGGCAGGTAGTGGAATGTTTGTGTCATGAGTTAGATGCTTCGGGGGGGGGGAAGAGGAGGAAAAGAGGAAAAAACCAGGTTACAATCCTATACACGAGTGCCACTCTGGGAAGAGAGGGAGCCTCCTCAGTTCTGTGGGGCGGGGTGGGAGCTGTGCTGGTGGTGGTTGATCTCCGAGCCGCCAGCGGCGCAGAGCAAGGGCGCGCTGTCCGCGGCGCTCCCGCCGTCGGTGCCAGCCAGGGAACCGTAGCAGCCCGAGCACTGAGGGGTGGCCAAGCTGCAGGAGAGACAGAAAAAACAGACTGAGAGGTGGCCAAGCTGCAGGAGAGGCAGAAAAAAACAACAGGCATGGACGTTTTAGGGATGAATAATTTGGCTTCTCCAGACTTCAACACCCTGACCGATGCTGGGAGCAGAAGTTTGAAGGTATAGCATCTCCAAGGAACTTGGGTTTGATGAGACAGCTACAAGGAGAAGAGCACCAGGCTGGCCAAGAGGAGCCAGAAGCTCTGAGCTGCTCACTACATCCCTGGACAGTGATGTGTGCTACACAGGTAGAAGAATTATAAAAGAAAGGCCTTATGAAATCAGGCCTTGCTCTGCTAACACTGCCAAAGCTGGCCTGTCATTTCTTCTAAGTGCAGCTAACAAGCAATTTGCAAGTTGCCATGTGAAGCTATTCTGAGAATCAGAAGTTGCTTTAATGCAACATTCTGTTCTGAGGGTGAAAAACAAATGCACCTGTGTAAATAATAAGATTTGTCCCATGAGAATCCACAAAGGAAAAATGTAAACATATCTAGAGAGAGAAAATTTGATAGATATATACAATAGCCCTTTCTGACTAGTGAACTGAATTTCACTGTATTGCTGACCAGTTAGGTTTAACACAGTGCTGGTATTTCCTGCAAACGTGAGCTTTGTGAATAAAGAATTGGCTTTCTGCATGAAGGACATGGAGTGTCAGCTGACTTATTCCAACACATGGAGACCCCAAAGATGTGACCGATGCGAGACGAACAGCGTGTCGCAAAAAAAGGTGAAATGAGCCAAGCTGACCTCAGGACTGGGTGGTGAGACAGGATTTAGAGATGGAATATACAAAGTCATGAAAGGAAGATGGAGCTGGCCACGAGTATGGTGAGGTAAGAGTGAAGAGCAGCGAGACAAGACGCAGCACATGGACACAACCAGCGGCTGCACCGCTGGCTGCAGGATCAGCATGAAAAGAACTTCAAGCAATGAACTTACAAAGTAGCAAAAGGCTATGGCTGCAGATGGAACAAGCAATGACAAGAGGCAACCAGTGAAGCAGAACCCGTGCACAGGGCTGCAGAGGGTGTGGAACACACAGGAATGAACACAACTCCTGGCAGGAAGTGTGAGAACCAAACCGCGAGTCGCAGAACGCAAACGTGGTCTCCAAACCTCGGGAGCTATGTGGCCAAAAGAGAGTCCTGGAAGGTGAGGCAGCCTAAGAGCTGCCGAGGAGAGAAGGGCTCAGCAAATCGTGCGGCTGCAGATGGAACAAGCAATGACAACAGGCAGCCGGTGAAGCAGAACCCGGGCAGCGAGTGCACAGTGCTGCAGAGGGTGTGGGACACATGGAAATGAACACAACTCCTGGCAGGAAGCGTGAGAACCAAACTGCGAGTCGCAGAACGCAAACGTGGTCTCCAAACCTCGGGAGCTATGTGGCCAAAAGAGAGTCCTGGAAGGTGAGGCAGCCTAAGAGCTGCCGAGGAGAGAAGGGCTCAGCAAATCGTGGGGACAACAGTCTCAAGAACCACGGTGAGTGAACAGTCAGCTGCTAAGGTGTGGGGAAACAAGTTGCAGAATAGAACCGTGATGTGGAAATGGCACGCGGGAGCGGCGACTGCGCGGAAACGTACGCGTCATGGAAAGAAAGCCAAACTGCGAGTTAGAAGAGGCAAAAGATGTCGGGAAAAGGAGAAAGTACAATAAATTTATGTTGACACCTTTGTTACTGTGTTGTGTGGTCCAGGGACTGGTCCCCAATTTGGTAAATGTGTTTAGTGGAGCCTGAGCCCACACTCTGGTTCTGGGACAGTGCCTGTGTGTGTGTCCCTGCCTGCAGACGCTCTGGAGCACATGGCCCCTGTGTCAGTCATTTCCCTTCTATCCCAGAGCTGGACACAGCAGTAGGGGCAGCAAGAGTCAAACCATGTGGAGAAACAACTCCTCCAGAGTCCCACCACACTTCAGCCCCAAAGCCAGCAGCTGATTTTAACCTGTCCAGTCCCAGGGAGGCCAGTTCCTCCCAGGAGGAGAAGGCCGAGAGGTCCAGGTGGGCACCAGCATGGGTGAGGGCACTGCTGGTCTCTTTTGGCCAGCCTGGGAATGTGCCATTCTCCCACTTCTTCCCAAACTCCGTCTGAATTTTCTCAAAAAGTTCATTGTGGTCCAGTAATGGTTTCACTCGATCTGTGTAACCCTGCAGGTACTCAAGGAGCATTTCAAGATACCTCTTATAGTCAGCATTTTTTTTCTCCTTGGGAATATTGAAGAGTTGGTCAAATGTGGATAAGTAAGTGATATAATCTAATTTCACTGGTGATTTGAGGTTAATGTACTTGAGGTAACAATCATGCAAATCCAGGTATCGTCCGTACCCTTCCTCATCTGTGAACTCCACCAGATTCTGCGCTTCTTCACTCTGGTTGTCTCTGGCCTTCAGCAGCTCCTCAAACTCCACTGACATAGGAACACAGATCTCACTTGGGTGCTTCTGGTGAAATTCCTTGATTTGCTTCAGTCTGTAGTAAAATCCCACAAATTCATTTGGCCCGGAAATGGCACTGAGTTCTTCCTCACACAGGCTGTCCTTGTCATCATACGGATCCCGCAGGTTGCTGCTCACTTCCATGTACCTGTCCTGCATGGCCCGGCTGTGGTGGTCCGAGTTGATCTGGTGATGGAGCTTAGACTTCTTGGTGAGCATCTCCTTCACCATCATGTCCATGAGCTGCTCCTGCTCCTCACGGTACCACCGCTGCTGCTCCAGGATCGTCTCCATCCCGCTCACAGCTCCCGCTACCCTTTGTGCCTGCAGTTCTCCTCTTCTCCCAAGATTATTTTTAATCAATTTCTTAATCAAGTCCTATAACCTTAAATTTTATCTGCAGTAGTTCCTTAAAGTTTAGAAATAATTAGCTCACAAATAAAATGTTACTGCTGAAGCAGACAGAGCCTGAATACAACCTGACACCCTGTCGGTCAGGGTGTTGGTAGCCCTCCAAATAAATGGTGGCTGCAGCGCTCCTGGAGTGACAAATGTGGTTCTGTTGAAGGGGTGATCCTGAAGAAGGCTGTAGTTTTCCTCTGAAGGTCCAGTGGTGTCTGGTCTTCCTCTGGGAATCCAGTGGAAAAGGCGGCTGTGGTGTTCCAAGCCTCAGATTATATCCAGGCAGGAATGCTTTGGCTCCTCCCCCTGGGCAGAGCATCTCCCAATGGGATTGTGTCACTTTATCAGCCATGCCGGGACACTCAGTGGCCCATTAACGAAAGATATCTCCTGGAGGGAGGATCAGTTGTGGGAGAGATAAAGAAAACTGCCCCAGCTGGTTTTAACAGCTGGCCCATTAAGAGAAGCTACCCCACCAGAGTCATGAGGGATGGGTCATGGAAGAGATAAAGAACACTCCCCCAGCTGGTTTTAACAGATGTAACCAGATGTATTCTATCACCATCTTGCATTGCAATCTAAGACAGTTAAATATTACCTTTCCATGCTGTAAGATATAAAGCTGTTTTCTTTTAAGAGATGACTCTGACTAGAACAGCTGTGATGAAGCACTGACAAACACCTGTTTGTGGATAAAGAAGATACAGTGTGTTCACCCTGGATTTTGTGAAGATTCTATTGCTCGTTACAATCTCTGCTGTTTTATCTTCCACAGAAAACACAGAAGAGTCAGTCATGATTCTCCATTATGGCTGTTGTTGATTGTAAGCTGTTTCAGTGCTTTCCTTTGTTACATTTTGCTGTCATAGGTACATGAGTGTACAAAGGTGTTATCTCAACTTCCCAAGAGGGTTACCACTGATATACTGATTACATGATGTGAACTTACTGATTTTATAATAGGCATCATTCATAAGATGTTATTAGTGTATTTATAGACAACTTGTTATATGCTTTAACATCTCTTTGTGTAATTATCTAAAAGATTCATGTCATTTCAGAATCCTTCTTTTTTGTTCTCTAGCTGCTTATGCAGGTTACCTCTCTGGCTGGTCCCTGCACTGGCTCTGCAGTTTGACCCAATGCTGTCTCATAATTAAGTATTTTTCAGAGTTCCAAGAAAAGATATTTGAGCTTCCTTGAAAGCCTCCTCTGAACGGCCAGTCTTGTGGTTTTCCCAGTTATTACAGAAGCACTCCAGGAGTTTGCTGGTTTTGAAGCATCTCTATCCTGAAGGAAACTTTGGAAGGACCCAGCTACTAGGTGGTTTGATTAGTCTTTAACCCCAAGGCCTTTATTCATAACTGCTATTCTTAAGAGCCTTGTTTTAAAATGTGTTTAGGGAATTCCCTCCCAGATGGAGCTTGGGCTCTGGCCAGGCCTTAGCTCCACCTGGAAGGAGAATTTGTCAATAAACCCAATGTTTTGTGCATCAAAACTAGATTCAGGTCACTTTGACTTGGCAATTTGACCCTTTATATATGACAGCTGAACCTATCTTTAGAGTGAGCTTGGGAATTATTATCTGGAAATAATTATCCAAGCCCTCACTAAATTGAGGTTTGTCAGCTGTTCGCAGACTCTGGCATGATGGTACAGTATTTCAGAGATCCCTAATTACCTAATTTCACATGTATTATTAATTACGTGTATTATCTGAAGTAGTCTTAATTGTTGTACCTGGCTTATTCCTGATTGCTGTCAGTTTCTTGTTCACTACATGTATGGTTTTGCCTTGATGTTTCCTCGTGCTCATAACCAAAGATAAGCATCTCATTTAAAAAAAATAAAAATAAGGAAGATTTAGTGCCTTAAGAACATCCAAATACTGTAATATGTACATTAGAAATTTAGACAGCTAAGAATGTGGAATAATGCAATATTTGCATTAGAAATTTGGAAAAAAGATCATCAAATCTAAATCCCAATTGAGTGTGCCTCAATTAGTAAAGCCTAATTGGTTCACTGACTTCAAGAGAGGGCGTGCTTGTGTTTTATCAGCAGCAGGTTTGAAGTGGTCACCTGTCAGATCAATCACTGATCACCTCTGGGAAAATGAGGCCCACTGGAAAGAGAAATAACCTCATCACCCTGCAGCCCTCGTGGCCAGAACAGGAACAGAACCAGGACTGCCAAGGCTTAGCTGTGTCTGCAAATACAGAGGCAATTTGCCAACAAAAGCTTCATGTCATCATCACAGTATAGTGTTCCTACTAACCTTCTTCAGCTATTCCCTGTTCCAGGATCCAGGAGGACATTCAGTGATGTCAAAGATCAACATTTCCACCTAATGGACTTTCTCCTGAGTCTTAACTATTTAACTTTAAAGCAATGGCCATTTATCTCCACTTCCCTAAGAGACATTGGACATTATTCTTTTGTTTTCTCATGCTGCAAAATCCTGTGTCAATGACATGACAGAATTTGATAAGCTTTGTTGATTGTAATCAGTCTTTTATCCCATATCTAATAGATAACCAGTGATAACCTTAATGAGATAATACCCTCCCAAGAGCGAGCTGTTTTAAGACCAGATCAGAGCCTTTTTTCAATTAATGAAAAGGGTGAGATGTTGTAGACAGGTAGAAGAATTATAAAAGAAAGGCCTTATGAAATCAAATTGCCAAAGCTGGCCTGTCATTTCTTCTAAGTGCAGCTAACAAGCAATTTGCAAGTTGCCATGTGAAGCTATTTTAAGAATCAGAAGTTCCTTTAATTCTATTCTGAGGGTGAAAAACAAATGCACCTGTGTAAATAATAATTGTCCCATGAGAATCCACAAGGGAAAAATGTAAACATATCTAGAGAGAGAAAATTTGATAGATATATACAATAGCCCTTTCTGACTAGTGAACTGAATTTCACTGTATTGCTGACCAGTTAGGTTTAACACAGTGCTGGTATTTCCTGCAAACGTGAGCTTTGTGAATAAAGAATTCTGCATGAAGGAAATGGAGTCTCAGGTGATTTATTCCAACTGTGAGAGACTTGGAAGTGAAGTGGAAAGGAAGTAAAATGTTCCAGGCCAGGCTGGACAGAGCTTGGAGCAGCCTGGGATAGTGGAAGGTGTCCCTTCTCATGGCAGGGGATGGGACAAGATGGGCTTTAAGGTCCCTTCCAGCCCTAACCATTCCATGATTCCATGGTGATAGGGCTGCCAGGATGTTTTGTAGGAGTTTTGCTGGGGATACCTGACCACTGTCCCGCACACCAGCACTTTCTGCAGAGCTTTGTCCCAGCTCCCTTCCAGAACATCACCAGCTCTCACTTCCCAGTGGAGAAACCCCTCTGGAGATCATTTCAGAGCCCTCTGAAATGGATCCCAGCCCTCCTGGGTGAGGTCTGCTGTCTGCAGTCACCACCTGTGAGCACCATCCACCTCTCTGAGCTGGTCACTTATGCCCAATAAAAACAGCTCCTTGTGAGCTGCACAAGGGAACAAAAGCTCTGTCAGAGGCTCCCTGCCCCATCTGCCATGCCCAAGCTGCCTCTTCCACCGAAGTTTTTCCTAGGAGCAGAAGCCAGGAGCTCTGGTGCTGCCCCAGAGGGCAGCAGAGCAGCAGCACAACCCTTCCTTACCCTCCTTCCCTGGCCCCGAGCCGTGACAAGTCATCGTCGCTGTCGTAGCGCCTGGGATTGTCAAAGAAATAGGCCCTGGAGCTGTAGCTGTGGCTGTTGACCATCCCTGCTGGAGTCTGCCAAGGAGACAGGAGTTAGGCCAGAAGCAAAACATTCCCAAAAGTCATCCCAGGCATCCTCCCAGCACAGGGGGACTCGCTCAGGCCTACCAGGTTCTGGCTCAGTCTCTGAGCGCGGAAGAACAGCACCACAAAAGTGGTTGGCACCAGCTCCCAGAGGAACAGGACCACTCCAAACACCACGTACTCCTCACTGCTCACCTCCACGTGCACCTGTGGGCACAAGGCAGAGGGGTCTGTGTCATCCCAGCCACCCAGAGAGCTCCCAAAAGCTGGAACTGGGAGTGCAGAGAAACCTTTCCAAAGGCAGGAGTCCCCAAAGCAGCACAGTGACCTTCACCTGGCTGCTGCTGCTGGTTTGAGTGAGCTGGTTCTGCTCAGAGGGTGCTGCCAGGGCACTGGGAGCTCTCTGCCCACACCAGGGACTCCCCCTCACGCACAGCCATGCCCGATTAAGCATTGCTGTTCTGCTCTAGTTGAGCTGTCCCTCCTCTCCCTCACAAGAAGAGTTGGCAGGCTGAAAGGGAAGAGCACAACGGGGAATCCTTCCTGAAGAAGTGGCTGGGGAGAGGAGGACTCAGGTTTGCTGGGTGCAGAGAGCAAGCAGAGCAGAAAGGCAGCTCATGTGGGGGTTCAGCTACCCAGACACCCCCCCCAAGCCCCCTGTTCACCCTCACAGGATGAGCAGTGACTGCATTTCACTTCACTGGCTCTGGATTTGGGGTCACACACTCACCTTGTCTGAAAGGTTGTCCCAGCCATAGTTAAAAGGGCCAGGAACATTGTCTGGAGATATAGCCACAGCTACCAGGTTATAGCAAGCCCTTGAGGAATACAGGAGGGCCACTACAGATCCCACCAGAATAGCCTGGCAGACAGATGTTCCCTAGGACAGGAAGAAATAAAAAGAGCTTTAATACAGAGCCGTGATGTTCTTCCCCGTTCCCTCAAATGCATGAGCAGCTGTGCAGGCAAGAATGACCCAGAACATTTGTATGTTGTTGCTAAAATATTCAGAGCTGGGTAAGAGCTTTCTCATGTGATGAGTTCATTGCAGGAGCCACACAGCAAGAGCTGCCTGGGAGCAGGGAAGGATCTGAGGCACTGGAGTGCCCCTGGCAGGACTTTGTCAGTCAGCTCCAAACTGGGGGTCCAGGGAGATGCTCTTCCTGCTGCTCCCTGCCTTCCTCTGGGAATCTCCAACAACCAACCAGCAGGAAAATCAACTTCTGCTTCACAGCCCAGACCCTGCA